TTTCCAGTCCTGTGGCCACTGCTGAGTTTTCCAAATTTGCTGGCATATTGAGTGCAGCACTTTCACAGCATCATTTTTTAGAATTTGAAATAGCTCAACTGGAATTCCATCACCTTCACTAGTTTTGTCCGTGGTGATGCTTCCTAAGGCCCACTTGACTTCACATTCCAGGATGTCTGGCTCTAGGTGAGTGATCACTCCATCGTGATTATCTAGGTCGTGAAGATCTTTTTTGTATAGTTCTTCTGTGTATTCTTGCCACCTCTTCTTAGTATCTTCTGCTTCTGTTAGGTCCATACCATTTCTGTCCTTCATTGAGCCCATCTTTGCATGAAATGTTCCCTTGGTATCTCTAGTTTTCTTGAGGAGATCTCTAGTCTTTCACATTATATTGTTTTCCCCTGTATCTTTCCACTGATCACTGAGGAAGCCTTTCTATTTCTCCTTGCTGTTCTTTGGAACTCTGCATTCAACAAATGGGTATATCTTTCCTTTTCTCCTTTGCTTTTCGCTTCTCTTCTTTTCACAGCTATTTGTAAGACAGCCATTTTGGTTTTTTGCATTTCTTTTTCTTGGAGATGGTCTTGATCCCTGTCTCCTGTACAGTGTCACGCACCTCCGTCCATAGTTCATCAGGCACTCTATCAGATCTAAGCCCATATATCTATTTCTCACTTGCACTGTGTAATCTTAAGATCATGTGGTAGTTCTGTTTTTAAGAACCTCCTCCATACTATTTTCCATATAATGGTTATACTAATGTATATTCCCATCATCAGTGTGTGAGGGTTTCCTTTTTTCTACATTCTCACCAGCAGTTGTCATTCATTGTCTTTTTGAGAGTGATGTCTCATTGTGGTTTGGGTTTGCATTTCTCTAGTGACCAACGATGTTGAGTTGCTTTTCTTGTGCACGATGGCCATCTTTGTGTCTTCTTTGGAAACGTGTAGTCAGATCTCCTGCCCATTTTTAAGTCGGATTATTTGGGTTTTTGCTATTGAGTTTTATCAGTTCTTTTTATGTTTGGAATATTAGCCTCTTAATCAGATACATGATTGACAAATGTTTTCTCCCATTCAGTAGGTTGCCTTTTCGTTTTGTTGATGGTTTCCTCTATTGTACAGTAGCTTTTTAGTACAATGTAGTCTCATTTGTCTATTTTTGCTTTTGTTGCTTTTGCTTTGGTGTCAGATTCAAAAAATCTTCACCAGGACTTGTGTCAGACCATCTGTGTTTCCTTCTAGGAGTTCTGTGGCTTCAAGTCTTTAATCCATTTTGAGTTCATTTGGGGGTTTGGTGTAAAATGGTGGTTGACTTTCATTCTTTTGTTATCTGATTGTCTAGTTTTCATGATATCATTTAAATTAAGGAACTGATTTCTCCTCTGTGCTGGGTCTTTACTGTTGTACACAGGCTCTGTCTGTCTCCCCGAGCAGGGGCCGCTCTTCCCTGCGCTGTGTGCGCTCCCCTGCGGCAGCCTCTCAGTGCAGAGTGCGGGCTGCAGTGTTTGTGGCGCCCAGTCTTAGCTTCTCTGTGGCCTCGGGGATCTTCCTGGTCCGGGGATCAGACCTGTGTTCCGGCGTTGGCGGGTGAATTCTTAACCCCTGGACCACCAGGGAAGTCCCACGATACCCTTTACTGAAGAAAATAGCCTTTCTCCATTATATATTTTTGGTTCTTTCTCATAAATTAACCGACTGTATACACATAGGTTTATTTCTGGGCTCTCTCTTCTGTTCCATTGACCTGTGTGCTTGTTTTTATGCCAGTACCGTCCCGTTTTTAGTTACTGTAGCTTTGTAGTTTAGTTTGGTATCAAGGAGCGTAATGCTTCCAGCTTTTTCTTTCTCAGGGTTGCTTCGACTACTTGGATATTTTTTGTGGGTTACAAATTTTAAAATTTTGTTCTATTTTTTTTTGAAAACATGTCATTGGAATTTTGATAGGGATTGCATTGAATCTGTAGATTGCTTTCAGTAGTTCGGACATTTTAACAGCTTTGACTCTTCGCTCTTAGAGTCAGTGAGTGTGGACAGTCTTCCCACTGACTTGGGTCTTCCGTTTCTCTCGCTACTGTCTTGTTTTCCATATAAAGCCCTTTCACCTCCTTGGTTAAATTTATGTCTTGCTTATTTTGTTCTTTTTTATGCATTTGTAAATGGGATTGTTTTCTTTTTCTGATATTTTCTTATTAGTATATAGAAATGCAATAGTTTTTTGTGTATTGATTTTGTATCCTGTAATTTATTATTTCCATAAGTTTTCTAATGGAGTCTTTAGGGTTTTCCATATATAATGTTGCATCATGTGTAAGTAGCAGCCATTTTATTTCTTTATTTTCAATTTGGATGCTTTTTATTTCTCTTTCATGCTTAATTTGGATATCTGTTTTAAAAAGATTATTCTCAGGATTTGGAGAGTGGTTTGGTAAAAAGCAAGGGTGGAAGATGGGAGTTGATTTAGGAGGCTGTTGTGTTAGTCTAGGCAAGAGATGGTAATGACCTCAGATAGAGTAATGAAGAAGAGATGCCAGATGTGAGTTCTTATTTTGGAGGTGGCTTTAGTAGTACTCGCTGATTGTTTGAGTGGAGGAATGGTTAGGCAGCTAAATGCATAGTAGTGGTTCAGTTAAAACAGGAAAGATGGAGAGGAGGGGCTCTAGGGTAAAGAAGATCAGTCTTTTGGACTGATCAGAAATAACCAGTTTTACTCTGGCCTTTTCCAGAAGAAGTTTGCTGACCCCTGGCATAAACAGTGCTCCCAAGGAAGGAAAGTGGCCAATAAAATATATGAGCCTGTTTATGGATATAACTTGCTACAAGTTGCAGCTTTCATTATTAAATAGTTTTCACTCTTGAAACATATTTGCAAGTTTGTGTTATAGAACTGTCTAGAACATTAACGTTTCAAAACCCTCTCTCTAATGTGAACGCTAATGTAGCTTTTAATTGAAGATTAACACTTAGAAGCGGTCCTCTGAATAAATCTTTTTACAATCTGCTCTTGCAGGTGCGTCAGCAGTTTCCTGCTCCCCTTGGTTGGTCAGGCACTGAAGCTCCTACTCAAGTCACTGTTGAAACGCATCCGGTTCAAGAGACCGCCTTCCATGTGGCCCCTCAGCAGAACGCGCTGCATCATCACCACGGAAACAGCTCCCACCACCACCACCACCACCACCACCACCATCACCACCATGGACAGCAGGCCTTGGGCAGCCGGGCCAGGCCGAGGGTCTACAGCTCTCCAACAAACAGCTCCTCCACCCAGGATTCTATGGAGGTTGGCCACAGAACGCGCTGCATCATCACCACGGAAACAGCTCCCACCACCACCACCACCACCACCACCACCATCACCACCACGGACAGCAGGCCTTGGGCAGCCGGGCCAGGCCGAGGGTCTACAGCTCTCCAACAAACAGCTCCTCCACCCAGGATTCTATGGAGGTTGGCCACAGTCACCACTCCATGACATCCCTGTCTTCCTCAACGACTTCTTCCTCTACATCTTCCTCCTCTACTGGTAATCAAGGCAATCAGGCCTACCAGAATCGCCCAGTGGCTGCTAATACCTTGGACTTTGGACAGAATGGAGCTATGGACGTTAATTTAACCGTCTACTCCAATCCCCGCCAAGAGACTGGCATAGCTGGACATCCAACATACCAGTTTTCTGCTAATACAGGTCCTGCACATTACATGACTGAAGGGCACCTGACAATGCGGCAGGGGGCTGACAGGGAAGAGTCCCCCATGACAGGAGTGTGTGTGCAGCAGAGTCCTGTAGCTAGCTCGTGACTACATTGAGACTTGAGTTTGTTTCTTGTGTGTTTTTATAGAAGTGGTGTTTTTTTCCAAAAAAAACAAAGTGCAAAGCTGCTTGAATCAGAAGGAGATTAACACACTGAACCGCTACAGGAGGGCAAAGCTGACTTTTTTTTTTTTTTTTAACTTGAAAAGATTGCAAAGGGACAATGAAGTTTTTAAAAGAGCCATGTCCAAACCCATCTTCTCGGATAGCTCAGAGGCGTCCTCTTTTTGCCGCCCCCATTTTAACTTGCCACATCCCGGTCACTTAGTGGGGTTTTTGTCTTTCTATTCCACAAAAGTTATTGTTCAGATGTTGGTCTTGCTCATTTGCCAACTAATTTTAAAATAAAAAGGCACTGCACATCATTTGCATACAGGGCCCCATGAGGGTGTTTTTCTCCCCCTTTTTGTTTTTCCTTTTTTCCCCCCCCGCCTCCCGTTTTTGTTTTGTTTTTGTTCTGTTTGGGGTGGGGGGTGGGAAATTGGGGTTTTTAAGTCCTCTAAACACACTTGGGCACGGAAACGCAGTACTGTAAGAAGAGGGACCTCCAGCTCACACAGTCATCACCTTCAGCTGTATGGAAGGGACGGTTGTATTGGCGTGTGGAAGGCACAGGACGCATGCTGAGTGGCGGGATCAGCGCCCTCCTGTCTGAACCTCCTGAGGAGCAAAGCAGCACTGCCCTGGGATCCTGTGGGTCTCCCGTTGCCGAGGCCACAGAGAGAGAGGGACGGAACGTGACTGGTCTCCCATCCAAGGTGCACTGAGAAGCAATCAGCGGGTCAGTTGTGGCCAGTCCCGGGGAGGGCTGAGTGGTGGTCTTCGGGAAAACCTTTGGCCTTATGGATTTGGACTCAAACTAGAAGAGCCTACCATTTCAGATGCAATCACTTTTGGACATGCTTTTGCAGACAGTCCTTAACGCTGAAAACACAGAGAATGGGTAATTCAAGAGGCCTTTCTTTTAAAACAGACTTTGGTGACCCACTAATTGTAAGGTATTGCAAGGTCACTTTGCGTGTGTCATAAAGTTGACTTCCTTATTGGTTGAAGGTCACAGAAGTAGTGGTTTGCTTTGATGGAAATAGCTACAGCTGTGTCCCTTCCTGCTTTTTACTTTTTCTTTTGCTTTTTCTCGGCACGTGGTATCTCCACCATTTCTTCTGCACAAAGATGTCTTCTGTTCATCCTGAACATTTTTAAAAAAAAAAAATGCAGAATTTTATGTGACTGCTTTTTTGCCTCACAATTATGCTGTGAATTTTACAAAAATTTATTTTCTTTTTTGATAATTTATTGTACCAAAGCTGTTTTTATAGCACATAGATGTCTGTAACCAATAATGTAGCAGTTCTGCACTTTGACACAAGGTGTAACTAGACCATTTTTAAATGTCAGTTGAAAATTATGGCTGTACTATTGCTTAAACAAAACTGGAACTGTTGCTGAATCCATAGCCAATACATTTACAGCAATCTGTGTACTGAACATGATAGATTGACACCTAACTCAAGATTACAACAGCTGTTACATCCTCAATGTGTTCAGGCTTCTGAAGGTAAAGGGACACTGGATCCAGAAGCTATGGAACCAGCAGTTGATTCTTGTATTCCTGATTAACCTACTTGTAAACTTGAAAGCAAGACCTCGATTGCACCAACAGGTCCAAAACGCGAGCAGAGTAGCGCAGAGCTCGCACGCGTGACCGGAGACGAGCAGGCTGGTGTTCTAACAGGTGCCTAGTTTTGAGATTATGCTGCCTTAACGTAACACAGTCTGGCAGTTGCTAAATTTGTGTTCCCATTTTAAATTGACCAATTTTACGGTGTTATACTTTTGAGCGGTTGAATTGGGAGAATGAAGATAAGAAATTTACCTGTCCAGGATCAAAGAAGCCTAGAAAAGAAGCAGTAATCTACCTCTGCCGATAACCCTGTTCAAAACAACTCAGCAGAAACACCACGTTACTTTTTATTGGTCAATTCCATGTGGCTGACTAGGTCAATTTTTTTCTGAACAAAAGCAGGTTTTTATATGTAAAACAGTGACAAAAGACAAAAAGGTTTAAAACTATGTGAATATGAATGGGAACTTGGGAATATCCGTTTTTATAAAACCACAAAAAATTTTTTTTGTTGTTAATCAGGAAATCCATATTTATTTTGTAATTAAATGTCAAGCCTGTGGATGATTTTTGAACTTGGTAGTTCATGAAGGTTTACAGTGAATAAAAGGATGTCATCTTGAGTCTAGCACTATCAAAAGGAATTCAGTAGTTACTGCTGTTTAGGAATATGAGGTGAAGATGTACGTGGGTCAGGTCATTTTTTTTCTGTGCTGGTTGCCACATCTGAGCAAGCACCAAAAAAAAAAAAAGCAGTTTTAAACCGCTGTTTGCATAAAGGCAGCCGTCAGGGCCGGCGCTCCTGCATACTGTGTTATGTTGCAGTCCAGTTTTGTGTGCTTTCCTACACGGTTTGGTTACAGGGCTTCTGTGCATTGTAAACATAAACAGCATGGAAAAGGGTAAATACCTGTGTGCAGATTGTAAGATCTGGTCCGGACTTGCTGTGTATATTGTAACGTTAAATGAAAAAGAACCCCCCTTTGTATTATAGTCATGCGGTCTTATGTATGATAAACAGTTGAATAATTTGTCCTCAGACTCTTTACTATGCTTTTTTTAAGATTAATTTAAGAAAAATGTAAACATAGTTAAAAAAAAATCTTCCTATGCAATTAAACCTGGTCCAGGTAATGGTCTGGTAGGTATACCAACTACAAGTTTGAAGTCAAATGTGTAGAAAGGAAAATTATAGTTACATCAACCTAGGCTTCGGAATCTTGAAAAAAAAGTAAAAATTGGTGGTTTAACAGACCATTTTGATTTTTTAAGATTGACTCTTTACTGTATTCACAGGTTCTGTCTGATTGAAAATGCTAGTAGTTTATCATGTTATGGATGGTGTAGGAGTTAGGTGGTTTTCTCTAGGCTTTGACCTGCATGGAAACACGAGGAACTACAAATCATACCCTTCCTCTTTCCCCAGATCCTTGGTGGACGTCTGTCAGGGGCTTTCGTATACAGAATCTTAAGATTCCTGCCACAGTGAGTTAATTCTCACCAAACATCTCTCTTTATAAACTAGCCTATGTGAGTATAAAGTAAGGTAGCTTTCAGAAGGCAGAAAACTTAACTGTAAAAGTTGAATGTGATTTCATTAAGTTCATATTGACTACTTAAAGTTGCACCTACCACATGTGTGAAAGGAAACCTTCCTTTAGAAATGTTTTTCTTAGGGTGATGATCATTTACTTACGTAAGTGGTACATTTTATGTCAGACTCCAAAAAAACTAGGCTTATTTTATGAATACTAGAGCTACAAAAAAAAAAAAAGTACAAGTGACATTCATTTAGGCTGCAGTAATCCTCTAAGGCCAGCAAGACGACCACTGCATTTGCCGCGTCACCCTCTTTTCAGCTCCTATGTTGTTAAACTCAATTACAGTAAGTTATAATAAGGAAATACAATGCAGACAGAGCAAATGCTACATTTCCTGTCGGTCCCCCAGTTTTCTCTTGGCATCCCGTTGCTAGCTCTCAGAACACGAGTTAGGGACTTCCCGTGTGGTCCAGTGGTTAAGACTCGACGCCCCGATGCCTGCATTCGGGCCCTGATTAGGATCCCACGTGCTGCCCTGCTCAGCCGAGAAAAAGAGTGTGAGTTCAGTACTCCTTTTACAGTGTGCCTGTAAGTGACGGGTAATTGCCTTACAGCGCTGTGTTGGTTTACGCCATACGTCAGCATCCATCAGCCGTAAGTGTACACACGTCCCCTCCTTCTTGAACCTCCCACCCCACATTTCTCATTTTTATGTCCATTTTTGTCCTGTGGCCAAAGCTAATAGGTCAAATGATTCATTTCAGATAGAGAACTTGGTCTTCTTGCCATGTATTGAAAAAGAAAAGTGAACTTTTTTTTAAGATTAGGGTTGGGAGGATAACCGACTTTGGCGTACTGAGACTGTATTCGGGCTCTCAGACTCCTGCTTGGGATGTCTGCACGTTGGGACACCCTTGGTGTCGGGGAGGAGCAGAGTAGATGATCGCATCTTCTTAACCGCAGATCTCCTCCCCTAGACTTGTTTCCTCGGGTAAAAACATACCTCAGGTGGCTTCTAGTACAAAGAACAAGAAAGCCCTAGGAAGACAGCCTGTTCCATTCTTCATCACCCCTCGTGACATCGGCCTGTGCGTCCCCTGAGAACCGTCATGTGGGTATCACCGGGGCTGTCACCCTCTACTAGTCATGTCTGCCTGCCCCTGTGCGTAAAGCACCCGTCATACTTTGTAGAAGATGCGCTCAGACGGTAAGTGGCCAATCAGTTGGTGCGTCTGTCTTTTCTTTCGGGCGTCATGTACAGTCAAGATTCCCAGTTTCACCCTTTCACAGGAAAACATGATGGAAGGGCCCAGGTGTTCTTCCATCATCACCTGTAGGGATAACATTCACCTCAACACAGAAGGGGCCGGAGGTGTTTGTCATCAATGATTTTCCAGTTTATTACCTGAAATCTTCAAAGAGAAAAAAGTTTTTCTCCAACTAAAACAGCAATTTAAATACGTACCAAAGAACTAGGTAGCACCCCACAGGTTTCAGTATCCGCTTCATTGCCTGAAAACACAGGGGTTTTGTTCTTTACATGACAGGATGAGATGGTCGGATGGCATCACCGACTCAATGAACATGAGGTTGAGCAAACTCGGGGAGATAGTGAAGGACAGGGAAGCCTGGCATGCTACAGTCTGTGGGGTTGCAAAGAGGCACAACTTAACGACTTCACACCTTGAGGATATGACGTTTTTATTAAAAACAAGGATTGGAATAATCTGTATGTTTCAGTCTTGGCATGTCATGAATTACCTGCCACCTGCAGCAGAACTTGGGGACGCTGCTTCCAAGGGGTAAGGACGAGCCTTCAGCTCACTTCCTTGGGCCTTAACTGGTTGTCATAGTCCAGTCTCAAGTGGGGTCCAGGAGTAGAAGTCTGGTTGGGGAGTAAAGCGCGTTTTAAATGTGGGGCAGGAAAAACGGGTGGCGAAGCTCCCAGTGAAGGATGAGGGAGACGGCCAGCAGTGAGTGCACCCCCACTCCTGGCAAAGGCGGTGCCCTTGTGTGGCATGGGCGTGGCCAGCCACTTGCTCAGATACAGACAGACACGGGGAGTTTCCAGGCTGCAGCACGTGGGAAGGCTGCGTGGGAACTGAAAAGTGAGAGTGGGGTGGCTCAGTCAGGTCTGGCTCTTTGTAGGAATTACATACATGTTTGTCTTAAAAGACCATAGTTAATTATGTTTACTGTTAAATTTCAAAAATTGTTACTTTTGAATTTTTTTTTCCTTTATGGTTTTCCATTCTTGTAGATTCTACTCCCAGTGTTGACTCGTTAACTCATATCCTATGATTGTCTCAGTAGTTTAGCTGAAGCTGCCGTCAAAGGGGAGGATTCGGAGCCAAGGGGAGGAGAGGCAGGCTCCAGGCACGTGGCCGGTCCTCCCCCGGCAGGGCCAAGGAAGCCGGTCAAGCGGCTGGGGCCTTGCTGCCCAGGGAAAGAAGGAGACGGCTGAGCCTCAGGGAGGTCTGCCGGGAAGGGACAGCTTCCCCAGGAGAGGGTGGAGTTGGTGAAGGTGGAGCGCAGCTGGCGAGTCGGTCCCTCTTGACTCACTGCTGTCTGGGAACGCAGTAGCCTGCTTGGCAAGGGCGGGGCGCGTCACCTCCCTGGACATGGAGGTGACATGGTGGTGTCCCATGGTTGTTTGTGTTGTTAAAGATCTGAGGCATAGTGTTGTGAAAGAGTAACCCCAAGGAGAAAGTTTCTGTTCCGTGTACATCACAGGCGAGCCCCGTCTGTAGAACCAGTGACACGGCCCAGGACCCTGAGCTGGGGGAAGGAGCTGACTTCAGGAACTGTCCAGCAAATCTGTAAGCAAGATGTAGGGGGAAAACTGATTCTGGTGAACCCTAGATGATCTTAATCAAACTGCTAAATCCCTGCTCATCAGCTTAAAACAGGAGCTTTCAATCCTGGCTGCACATCTGACTACTCACCTGTGCGTGCTTGCCTGCCAAGTCGCTCAGTCGTGTCTGACTCTGTGACCCCACAGACCACAGCCCGCCAGGCTCCTCTGTCCCTGGTCTTCTCCAGGCAAGAACGTGGTGGGGGTTGCCATGCCCTCCTCCAGGGGATCTTTCTGACCCAGGGATCGAACCTATGTCTCTAAGATCTCCTGCTTTGGCAGGTGGGTTCATTACCACCTGTGTTGATCACAGCCCCAGTATATTTGAATCAGAGAGTTGGAGGTGGGGCCTGGGTCTGTCTTTCTAAGGTGGCTTTACAGGATGACCTGAAGATGCATGGGGCTAACCCAACAGGAGTCTGAATTGAAGATCATTTTAAAATAGTGTCATTACTGGAGTTTATACAATTAAATATGTGTCAATGAGTAATTAAAAGTCACCACTTGGCCTGCATTATAAAATATGATGAGTAAGCCTCCGAGAAAGAGGAAACAGCAGACTTCTGTTAAGTATATAAAACTTGGTTTCCTGTCCCCTCCCCTTTGGACGGGGGGTGGCCTGACATCCTGGCAGAAGCTCTCAGGTCTCCGGTGAGAAGGGGGCGTGCTGAGGTGGTTCCCAGGGGTGAGTCCGGGCCGTGCTCAGCCCCGTGCCGTCTTGGCAGGACCGGTGGTGGGTTCTCCAGGGCACCAGCTGCCTGGTCTGAGTGACAGGCCTCGGAGAAGCACAGTGGCAACAAGATTTGGATTCACATCCTTGCTCTTAATGCTGGACAAGTTGCTTTACTTCTCGGAACCTCACTGTTTTAAAAAGTGAAAGCAGCTGTGGTATGCAGCCTGGGATCTTACCCAAGCGTCCCTGAGATAATCTACCTACGAATCTTAGCACAATATAGGAGGTGCTCAATCAATATGATTTATAACTAGACAGCTTGAGTCCACAGCATGCATGAATCCACGTCTATGTAAATTTAACAAGCACCCTGTGGGAAACTAGGTGAGTAGTGTTCTCCATGAATGTGTAAATAGGATTATTTATTTCTGGAATCTGAAACTGGACGTTAACATTTCTTTCCTACTTGATTTTGCTACTGCACAGTACCTACATCTACTTGAGAATTTGAAGGTTGTATGTTTTGTAGCCTCCTCTGATACAAGGTATGATATTTTAATATTATAGGAAGGATTTTTCTCTATAAAGGAAGCTTTTTGGAGGCCTGACTATATGCAAAGGACCCATTTTTTACCAAGCACGATTATTCGGCCCAGACATCACATGTCTAGTGGCCTTTTCCCATTGTCCCTTTTCCCACTTGAAGGCATTATCTCTCATGTTTAGCCATCAGCGATTTGACTTAGATCAGGGAGAGAAGAGGAGAAGGAAGAAATTGGGTCCCACGTTCATAAACAGCAATTTCACTGGGGAAGCTTTCAGAACTTAGTTACAACTTAGTTTTAAAGGCATTAAGTGGCTGGCTGCCGCTGGCTTTGTTGTTTTTATCCTTACTTTCTTAATGTTTTTGAGGACTCTGTGCCTCCGCCAGCTTGGGGTGCCCGTACTGTGACCCCCTTCTCTCTATTCCTCT